TTCAGCATAGACCCAGGCACCTTGGAGACAGAGGCACATGACAGAGCATCATGGCGTCGCGCTGTGAAAACTGGCGCACAGGTTGCTGAGGAAAAAAGAACAACGCTGGCAGAAGAAAAACGCCAGAGAAGAAAAGCAAGGCAAACGACACTAGCACCAGATGGAATAACCTGCCCAGTGTGCGGCCGAACATTCCGGGCTCGCATAGGTCTCACCAGCCACACGAGGAGGCATAAAACCCCAGTGCAAAGCCCTCAGCCCCCCTGGATGACAAAGTGGTCATCATCGAACCACGATGGACGAAACTATGAGATACATTTTTGTGCACTTGTTTGCAAGGTAAAGTTAAATTTCTAAACCCTTTCGTTGGCAGCATTGGTCTTTTTATACAGAATTCTCGACATGGTTAAGAACTGAACATTTATCATGAAAAATCTCTAATAGATATTGTTTTGTTTGTTGTAGCACATAGGAACATGCTTTAAAGCATCGTCTTTAATATGTACGCCTATCTTGTATCTAATTTAAAACTTAAAGAAAACGGGAACTGCATTTGTGTCTTTGTCGTGTCGTCATGAGAGGAACATTAAAAGTATACATGTAAAAACATTTCTCTATGAGAACAAATCTCCCAGATACTATATTTTGCACTGATTGGCCCGTCCTTTCTGTGGTTGAAGAATGGAAGCCATAAAATCGTTAAACTTTTTTCATCATTCGAGGCCATTAAAAGAAGCAGGGGGTATCTCGACGAGATTGTATCTACATGTGTCTTTCCTTGATTGAAAGAGGCAGGTTCAAGCATGACTCTCTGTTCAAAGAAGTAAATGCACGGGTCAATGGTAGGCTATTGGTTGAATGGACAAAACATGAAATCGTTGACACCTTTAGGCATGACCTCTTCTCTTTTTTCCCGTGACAATGACGTGAAAGCAGTATGATGAAAGAACAGCACCTCCTTGGAACCTTGTGTTTGCTTGTAGTAGGAAAAAAAAAACAGTGACAAAAAAATGACAGCGTGTGACAGACAGTTTATTGTGGTGTGTGACGCGTAGGACAGTGTTGACAGTGTCTAACAGAGTATGACATTGATTGTCAGTTTGTGACAAGTGTTTGACATTGTGTGCAGTGGCGTAGCTAGGGATTAGGGAGCCCCCGGGGGGCGTGATCTCCTTATGGGCCCTGCATTTTGAAATTTGACAAGAGATAATGGAGTTATATTTAATGTAAAACAAATTTCGGACACTTATTTGGGAGCCTCCCTCAAATTGGGGCCCGGGGGGATTTTTTTAATTTGGACACCTTTCCCCCACACTAGCTTCGCCACTGAGTGTATGACAGTTTGTGACAGTATAGACAGCGTGACAGTAGGTTGACCGAAGAGATTAGCTGGTACAGGGGTTAGTGCACTGCTTTGAGGAGGCTGAGGAGGATTAAGCCCACCTTTTGATATATAAATGCATATTAAAAGCGATCACCCAGATACCCACTTCTTTCTCCCCCCACCCATTTCCAACTGGTCCAGACAAGTGATAGGATCATAGCGTATTGAGAAAGCTAAAAATCATGAAATTGCGCTAAACAAAATCAGTTGTTAAAAATATTTGTAATCCGGCAGATTAGTTATTGTTAGTCTACATCTATTACAAGTTTAAATACATGACTGATCTAAACTAATTAATACAACTACGGTTGTTGTTTTTTTTAAGTATTGTTTATATTTTTCGTGTTGTAATTATAATTACGTTGTTTAATGTATTATTGCAACTTTACTTTTTATTCTTCTGTGCTGAAGTGTCTCTAAATTTAGTGGTTTTACTCATAGTGTTACTTGAGTTACATGTAAAGATTGGCTCGTCATAAATCTCACGGCTCTGTTTTGCGTCTGTTCTGCTTTCTTTATGTTTTAGCAGAGCGACTAAAATTCTTATTAATTTAATATACCCCCTCTCTATTCCCAAGCCACCTCCCCTCCCTCCCAAAATCCACAGTCAGAACCTTGTTCACGTTTAAGCAGGAATGCCATGGAAAAAAAGTTCAAAGGTCAATCAATCCCCCTATGCCATGACCAACTTAACTCCGAAATCTTCAGATTTTTAAAGCCAAACATGCCAAGACACTCTCGGGCTCTGCATTCTGCCTGAAATTTGTGAAACTGGACACCCGAAAATGTCAACCGAAACATGGTCATTGCCAAATTAAAATGGAGAGGGGAGGTGGGGTCACACTTTTTCTGGGGGTCGGACCGTGTCACGTATTCCCGGTCGGAATGTCAGGCCGTTGCTGTCTTCTGTAGAAATTTGTTAGTAAGTGGATTTACACGGTTCGGTGATTCCTATAAGTGTAACGATTAGAAGCTAGTAGAAGAAAAAAAAAACATTAGTACTATGGCTAGGTACCAAAGTCAAATGTAATTATGATTTGTGATTTGTGGGAAACGTGGTCGAGAGGCCAAGAACTTGGCTTGGCTTGGCTACCTAGAAGAGGGCTCGACACCCGACTCGGGCAGAGTTGTGTTTACTGACCATATACTACCCCCCCCCCCCCCACTAAAGCGTTCTGAGCATGCTATTAGCATGAAAGTATATATAAAAGCTATAATAATAATAATAATTTATTTTTTTGCAAATCTTATAAAATTAATATTAAACAAATAAAAAAAATCAATACAATGATTCGTCTTCTTTCCAGTGGTTCTATAAAGTGTCTGACTAGGGGTTGGGGGTATTAACTGTTGATATTACGAGGCCTGGGAGGTTACGGTGGTCCACTCACCCATATCTTCTGTGTAGTCCGTCATCCTATCTTTTACCTGATTTGTTCTAAGATTGTGTGTTGTTGTTTTTTTTTATGTGTAGGCCTAAGTATATATGCCTACGTGTGTTGCTAATGCGTGTAGGTGTATTTTTGTGTGTTTTTGTGGTTGTGGGGATGTGAAAGGTCATGTTGTAAATCAATCAGTGTGAGTGAAATACAAAATTGGAAATGAACATAAAACATCATTACATAACATCATTTAATACATAAACCTCATTACATAAACATTATTACGTAAACATCATACATAAATATCATTGCATAAGCATTATCACATTAGCATCATTGAAAACATCATTAAATAAACATTATTACTAACATCATTAAAAACATCATTAAATAAACATTATTACTAACATCATTAAATAGACATCATTAAATAGACATCATTATATAGACATCATGAAATAACATCATTAAATAACATTATTAAATAACATCATTAAATAACATCATTAAATAAAACCATTATATAACATCATTAAATACACATCATTAAATAGACATCATTAAATAACATCATTAAATAAGCCATTTAGTAACATCATTAAATAAATATAATTATATAACATCATTAAATAAACATCATCACATAACATCATTAAATTAACATCATTCATTAACATCATTAAATAACATCATTAAATAACACCATTAAATAACATCATTAAATAACATCATTAAATAACACCATTAAATAACATCATTAAATAACATCATTAAATAACATCATTAAATAACATCATTAAATAACATCATTAAATAACATCATTAAATAACATCATTAAATAACATGATTGTATAACATCATTAAATAACATCATTACTTAACACTCGACGCTTAGGGCGTCAAGCTCTCTCCGCACAGATAGGTCATAGGGACTTCCAGCGACTTCCACGGCCTCTTCCCAGCTGGTGACCTCTGATTTTAGGAAGCTGCAACATTATTTAATAAAATATAAAAATAAAAATCATTTTTCAAATTTATTGTCTTTGTCATTTAATACAAGGCTCATTAAGTAGGAGAAATTTTAGGACAAATCTGATTTAATAACTCAGATTTCTTCTCGGATTGTTCGTCCCACTTAATTACAACAATTTTGTGGAGTCATATCTGTTCTCAAGTTTGGCTACCCCAATCATTTTAAAGCAACTTTGTGCCGTTTTGATGACATGCAAGTCATTTTACAGGATTATTCTGCTTTCTTTAGCAACTTGTCAAATTGCTTTGAATCAGAGTTGTGATTAAAATTGTGTGTTATCGGTTGGAAGCTCTATGCCAGATGGAAGAATCTCTAAAAACATCCTATATGCTGAACTTACTTGGGAATCAGACCAAACGGCCGCCCAATACTGACTAACAGAGATGTCTGCAAGCGAGACATGAGAATTACAGGCATTAACGACAGTATAAGGGAGGTGTTCCAAAGACAGGACAGCATGGAGACAGACTGTACGTGCTGGTATGAACTTCCCCAAGAGCAAAAGATATGGAGCTGTCTTAGTCAAGAGAAAGATAAAGAAAGCTGTCCTGTCAGATAGTCCTAGAACAGATACATATGCACAAACTGTGGCAAAATCTGCCGCTCAAGAATTTGCTTGATCAGTCACTCCAGATTCTGCCCGTCTCAAGAAGAAACCAAAGCCAGTAACTCATCTTGTGAATGTGTTCTGAGACAGAAGGAGCCATATATCCCCTCCTTGATTTAGGAACTAATTTGGTTCACCTGCGTAGTCTAAATGAATAAACCATCGAATTCGTCCAGAAGTGTCCAAAGTATAATTTATAATTTGTATTCAGCCAATAGCAATCAACCCAAAAGCTTTTAGTATTATTTAGAGATTAATGCCTGGAGGGTTAACAACGAACAAAGCACTACGAACAATGTTTAAATATTCCACTGCTATTTGCATTCCTAAACCGCGCAAATTGGAAATTGGAACGCTTCAAAAACAAATTCGTGTGTGGGTGAATTCCAAGTAATTAAAATGTGATTGTTTCTTAATATAACTCCCGCTTGTGTTGTCTTTTTGTACTTTGTGTCTGTTCGTATGCATGTCAAAAAAAATGTCAGCTTCATTGTTATGTAAACATTTGGGTGCTTAAAGAGAACAGTTGTGGAAGCTGAGAGAAGAGAGAATAAGAGGGCGGAAAGGGCTAACACTCTCCCCCACTCCCATTCTTTTTGAACGATACATTTAGACTATAGATTTGATACTAGTTGTTGGCGGTTTTATATGCGCCAATTACCCACTGCACTTATCTAATAATCTATATCACCAAACTGGAAGGTGCGGTGGCTGAGCGGTAAAGCGCTTGGTTTCCGAACGGGGGGCACGGGTTCGAATCCTGGTGAAGACAGAGATTTCAATTTAGGGATCTTCGGGTAGTGAAATTGTTGAGCTGCTTAGTTAGATATATCAGGTCCTTAAGTGATTGGATCAATTTTCTTTTTATCGCAAGATCTATTTGGTTGGTTGAGCAGGTATTCTCAACTTGGAGTCCCAGAAGAAGAGTGGGGTTTTTGATTCCCAGATCCTTAGGACGCCTCTGAGTCCATCCACCTCTAATGGGTACCTGACATTAGTCGGGGAAAAGTAAAGGAGGTTGGTCGTTGTGCTGGCCACATGACACCCTTGCTAACAGTAGATCACAGAAACTGATGACCTTTACATCATCAGCGCAATAGACCACAAGAGAATTTTACTTTTTATATCACCAAACTACGGAGGCGCGGGGGAGGGGAATGTAATGTGGACGGGGGAACATTTTTCTTCCTCAGTCTTTTAGATTTACCATTAATTTTTTATTAAAAGCATAGAAATCAACTTTGACGTGAGATAGCCTTAGAATTATAATTTTTATATTTTAGCTAACACTTTTTTATTAACTGATTTGTTGTTCTTATGTAAATTTTATACAGACCCCCCACTCCACATTTTATATTGTGTCAAGAAAAAACTGTTGTTTTTTATTTCACGTGTGCAATTTTCTAAAAAAAATTTTTGTTTTAAATGTGTTCCTATTTAGCACATTTTTTTACCCGATCACATTTTCGTTGAAATAGAGAAGGGGGGGGGGGGGGGCTACGCCATAGGTGAATATATAGGGGGGGGCAAGCTGGGGGGGTGGGGAATAATGACAGAGCTTCGTCAATTTACAAACAGCGCGGTGATTTTTTCCAGTCTCAAGAGTGCGGTACTGTTAAAACTAGACAGACGGCCCCGGTGAGGCCCTAAGACCGAACAATCGCAAACAATGCTTTTCAAATATGTTTCACAACAGAGGCGATTGAGCAAGGAAAGGCTAGCCCCCCACGAGTCACACCCAATCTGATCAAGAGGATTAGGGCCACCGTCACAATCAACGCTACTGTTTGGCAAACACCAAGGCTGCCTAACCTTTTTTTGTGTTTAACGCCAGGGGAAAAAAAAAAAAAAAGGCGTCCGCGAGAAAATGACAAAGGCTTGCGTCATTGACGTACTCCCCGCCTCAACTCCAAGGTGACCACTGTGGTCACCTGTGACGTCAGGTAAGCGACGTTAAAGCTCAGAGGGTGCTAATGAAGTGCTTTGTTGTCTAATGCTGTTAAAATTCAACTTCAATCCCGCTAAAGTTGTAGCCATTGGTAACTGTAAAATCAGAGGCACTTGTAGCCATTGGTAACTGTTAATGTTTATTGTTGCTTGCTTAAGAAAAGTGAGAAGTGGGTGTCACGAAATATCCTTGGGCTCGCCTCGCTTTTAATCACTAAGGGACAAACACACAGTGACAGTAAATGTTCAAATCAACTATTTAAAAAAAAAAAGATCTAAGATAAGATAAGATAATTTAAGATAAACTAAGATCAGAATTTTAGCAGACAATAATAATATTAAGACAAGAAGTGAAGATAAGATTAATACAAGGTTAATATACGCTTAATACAAGATTACAATAAAGATACTATTAAGATAAGAAATGAAAGGGAAATTTGGTTTGATTACAAAGTTCCTCTAATCAGCTGGAATCGTCCTTCTAAAGTTGAATTTAGAAAAACAAAAATAAATGGACACTTACAATATTAACAGTCACTACAGAGCCGTATTAACAAAAGTGTAAAACTGTGCAGCTATTCAGTACTTTTGCCTAGGGCATCTCCCCAAACAGTGCCTCGCCCTTTAACAGGGCATCGCCCCAAAACAGTGCCTCCTTCTTTAACAGAGAATCGCCCCAAAACAGTGCCTCGCTTTTTAACAGGGCATCGCCCCAAAACAGTGCCTCCTTCTTTAACAGAGAATCGCCCCAAAACAGTGACTCGCTTTTTAACAGGGCATCGCCCCAAAACATTGCCTGGCTCTTTAGCAGGGCATAGCTACAAAACATAGCCTTGCTCTTTAACAGACCCTTCCCCTTTAACAGGTCCTTGCCCTTTAACAGGTCCTTGCCCTTTAACAGGTCCTTGCCCAAAAACAGGTTATCCACATTAATTATTTTTGTTAACTAAATGTGCAAATTAAAAATAAGAAAATAAGGGAAATTATATTAAATTACGTATTGTGTTTATTTATTTTACAAATGCGGCATGCTTTTACAGTTACTAATACTTTTAAGTGTTTTTATTTTGTATTATGTACATATAAACATCATATTATATTAAATTGAAGCTTGAAATGGGTAGGAGGTTACACAAAAATTTGTGCTTGTGCCTCAACTTAATTAAGTCCGGAACTGCTACAGGCTGTCATCCTGTTCAATTATGTGTTGATCTTCTCTTTACCAGCTATCCTCCTAATTAATAAGTAAGTAAAGTTCCCTTTCAGGCCTGTACGCGAGAAGATATTGTAAAGGTAATTGGTTTCTGAGAGGCGCGGTGGCTGAGCGGTAAAGTGCTTGGCTTTTGAACTATGCGTCCGGGGTTCGAATCCTGGTGAAGACTTGGATTTCTAATTTCGGGATCTTCGGGCTCCTCTGAGTCCACCCAGCTCTAATGGGTAACTGACATTAGTCGAGAAAAAGTAAAGGCGTTTGGTCGTTATACTGGCCACATGACACCCTTGTTAACCGTAGGCCACAGAAAAATATGACCTTTACATTATCTGCCCTATATACTACAAGATCTGAAGGGGGAACTAATATGTTTCTGTAGCCTACGGTATTGCCATCACAACCAACCGCCTTTACTTTGTCAGGTACCCGTTAGAGTTGGGCGCCCAAGGATCCCAAATTTTAAAAATCCCAGGATTCGAACCCGGAACCCACGTTTCGGAAGCCAAGCGATATACCGCTCAGCCATTGCGCCACCTGATCTTCCTGATTATCAAAAAAAACATCAATGAACAAAGAGATTGAGAACTTGCTAACACTGTGTCAACACCAAGTTAGCGTGCTTGTAAGTCATCAGTCCTTCTTTCACACTAAGGCCTTACTACCTTACATCGACCAACGACCTCCCCTGTATAGACCATTTCATTATCTTTCTTGATAACTATATTAGCGTCAAAAGGCGGCCTTTAAGTTCGTATAACTAGGAACATAATTTTATAATGAAAGCATTTACGAGAGGCATTAAACTGCGGGGAATAATAGAGAGCTATTAAAATACTTACAGAAGCAGACGCGAGTTTTTTTTAATTGATTATAGAAGCATACGATGGGGAGAGACAAAATGATTCATGGGGCCTGGAACATTGGGACTTCTGCTGCATGACATGCTCCGCTGGGCCTGAGTTTATATGCGTGTTTATTTTACTTAGGTTTAATACCGCTCGTTATAATCATAATGTGTGCTTCAAATCCGCATTAGAGGTGTAATTATAACATGAAAAAGCGGACGGAACATATATGCTTTATGGCTAGTTTACGTAGATTTATAGCTACGATTTTTAGTGTGAACTGAATAGTAATCGGGAAACTGGTTTGGGAACATACTATTTCGTGAAAATGTCAAAAATGTTTGATTTAGGTCTTTGTGAACTAAATTTGGGGAAATCCCAAGGCATGGTGTGAGTTTATTTCAATTAATTTTCGTATAAAAAATATATATATATATATATATATATTATAAAGTAGAATGTGAGGTGTATGTATGTATGTATTTTACTTATAGACATCAAAACCGCTTGACCAATCTTGATAAAACTAGGCAGGAATGTTCCTTGGGTACTAACTTAGACCGTAGTGTATGTATTGTAGCCCTAAAACAAACTTAAGACCCTCAAAAAAAAAAAAAAAAGTTGTCCGACTCTATTACAGCTATAGTATTTTTTGGATCTAGGCCATGGTTAACAATGTTGACATGAGAAAAGATCGAAAGGATTTAGGCCTAGATCTAATTTTTTACTTTGACACATGAAAATACAAAAGAAGATCCATTGATTTCATTATATAATATAATTAACCTTCAATTTTGTGTTTCAAAAGCATTGTGGATTGTGGAAATGAATTCAGGACCTCCGCTACCCCTAGAATCAAAGATCGTCTGCCTTGAATCAAATTCTCTTCCTATGCTCAAGGATCTCTGCCTTGAATCAAAGATTCTCTGCCTGGACTACTAGATCCTCCCCCCCCCCCCCCCCCCCCCCAGGACTAAAACTCATCTGCCCTATATATTGCAAGGTCTGAAATGGGAGTTTTTTAACCCACATATTGCTAGGTACGCCCCTACCTCAAAGCAAACCTTGAAAGATCTATTGTCCAGTGTTTTCTGAAATTCTTCTGTTTAAATTTTTAGTAAAGAATCTGCTATAAAGCCGCATTCTTGTCTACTAGGAATGTAGGGAAAAAAAAACGATTTCGCAGCAACACAAACAAACAGGAACAACTTCCTGAGACGTCAAGCATAACGACACAACTAACGGTTCTGCTGACTGGATCTTCTTGCAGATATAGAGAAAATGCTAAGGACGGGGGTAGATGGCGCAAAAGTTGTATAAGCTTCAGCACGCCAGGTCGCTCCATGGGATATAGTGCCACTGGGATGGATGAATTGAAACCTGCCTTTTACGTCTGAGTTCACCACTTCGGGGGTCGATTTTGAGTTTGTGTTTCTTCACAAACTGTCTTTGTAACATTGTAATAAGCTTAGTATATGTTTAAATTTCAGTTTATTGGTTTTGTTTGTTTTTTTTGTTGTTTTTTTTTTTGGCATATCAAGTTGAATGTATTTGTATTGTAATAAAACTTATATTTAGTTTCGCTCACAAAAAAAAAAAAAATTTATCCAAGTTATTTCAAGATCTATAACTTAGAATACAATACACCTGCACCGGTTTA